TTACCCTGTGATCATAAAACTTAACTTATGTCACCACTTCTAGATTGTAATGTTCACAGAGACACAAACAGCATCCTAAATGCCATGATCTTCTTGGGGAGAACATTTCGGGAATGGTTACCTGGCCCAACTTTGCTCAATGTACCATGCACTCTGAAAGAAGACTAGTTAGCTTGGTGTTGAGGGGAGTTCTCTGGGGAACCCGGCACCATCTGTGCAGCCATGACCCTTCTCTGGCCCAGGTCACAGTTTGTCAGAAGTGTATAACCTCCGATCTTCTTAAATTTGGAGAAGAGTGAAAGAATGAGCAGGAAAAGGAAGTGACATTTGTTAAAATACCCCCTAAGTGCCAGGCATTAAGTAGATAAGGCTAAAAATATGCACTACAGATATGTATGTGCATTTGTATAATGTACAGATTCACAGTGCCCCTTGGTTATCATAACAGCCCTGTGTTGTACCTGCTGTCTTCATTATTTTATGAATAGGAAATACACTTGAAGTGAAGAATCTGGTACTAGGTCTCTCCCTGGGTGTTTTGCTGATTTTCAGACCTGCGCTTTCTGCCTGTAGTTGTGTGTTAATTTTTGTTGTTTTATGGTTAACTTAGTTGTTTTTTGTGTGTCTACAAAAAGCCCACTTTAAGGCTTGCTGCTGCACTCTCTTCTCCATGCGCTAGGAGGGGTTTTCTGGGTTAGATTAAACATAGAGGTGGGGCAAGAAGAGACTTAGGATGTAGGAGAAGCTGTGCAAGATCAGACTGAGAAAGAGTCTGCCTGCCAGAGTTAGGAGTCTGGCCTTGTAGTAGAAGAACAGGGGAGTGAAGTCTTTCTAGGGAGCTTACAGAAGGTCTGATTCACTGTGTGTGGGAGCTGGATCGGAGGCAACCCATTAAGGTTTCTTTTGCCTGTAGAATTTTACTTTGAAAGGAGAGAAAAGGGCTGGGGCAGCCCGATCTCAGTAGTAGAGCCCTTGCCTAATGTGCACAAGGCCCTGGGTTCCATTCCCAGAACTTCCTCCCAAAGTGAAATAAATAATGTCTTCATTATTTCATCCTTTCTATTTTCTGTGTTTTAACAATTTAAAGTAGTAAAAGTAAATGAAATCTTCTTTAAATCCAGAAGGGAAAGGAAACAGCAAACAATTTGTTCTAATGATGAATAAACATCAAACATAATCTAAGGGGCACTTTATAAAATAAGCGGTCTGGACTTTTAATGTCAAAAAGAAGACCAGCTACTATTTCAGATGCAAGAAGATTAAACATGACCTTTAAGTGCAACATGCGATACTGGCCGGGGAATTTGAATTTGTTTTTCTTTTTCTTATAGAAGCTATTACTCTGACAACTGGCAAGATTTGAAAATGTGCACATAGGGACAGTCATAGTATTGTACCAGTGTTAACTTCAGAATTTTTTAGATGAGTGCTATGGTTTTTAGGGAAATGTTTTTAGAAATACCTATGGAAAGTCATTTCAGGGTAAGAAGCAGCGTGTCTGCAAGTTACTCTGAAATATTTCGGAAGGAGGAATGACATATCAAGAAGAACAACAAAGCAGGAGAGATTGTGGGTGAGGGGAAGCTGAGGGAATGGTGCATACAGTTCTCTGTAGTTTTGTGACCTTTCTGCATGTGTGAATTTATTTCGAGGTAAAAATGAAAAAAAAATAATTTGTAGGAATAAGAAGGAAGAGCAAAGGATCAGGCAGGTCTGCCTCCTGTCCTAGGAAGTCGGGCATTAGGTATAGGATGAGGGATTTGGAACCGTGGATGTCTTGGGATCTGGCAACCAATATGCCCCAGAGTTCGGGGAGAGGCATATTCTTCTCATAGTCCCATTGCACCCTCTCCTTTCCTCCGCAGAGCTGAGCTCTGTAATAGATTTGGTGCGTTGCCAGGATATCTTGTTTTACTTTCTCTCCACATAGTGGATAACTGCAAATCCACTGACTGGAATAATGAAGTCTAAGATGGAGGTAGGAGGAAAGGGATCTGGATTAAGCAGGAATGGAGGCTGAGAAACTCTTTCCCTAGAAGTATTTGCAAGTAGAAATCTTCCTGGAGGTGAGAGCAAGTGCCACAGAAGGTGATTTGCATATTTAAAAGAAGGGTTGTCCATTTGGCTAAAGGAGATCTGACTGAGACGTGTTGTTGACTGTCTTCACCATCCTAGGGGGCTAAAGGAAAAATATGACTTCCCTCCCAAGTCATCCGTTATTGCCCAAGGGCAGGAAAAAGCCTCCCAGCTGCAAGGAGACAGTAGCTTGGCAGCTATACTTGTAGAAGAAAGGAAAATGTGGAGTATGTGACTCTGACAAAGCGATAAAAATTTGAGAATGGCATCAATTCCTGGTGCAGGATATAAAAGTGGGAGGAGAATTGGGGGAATAAAGATGATAGGGACCCGAAATTTTCACAGGAGAGCTCTTTGCTGGTGCAGTCTTGATCTTAGCAGAGAAGTAATTCCAACAAAACGTGATTGTTCATAAACATACAGTGCACATTCACCCAATTTGGCATTTGTATGCTTTTGAGGTAGTCTTAAGAAGCACTGGTTAATGGAATTTAAACAAGGTTTAATAGAGGCATGTGAAGACGGCTCTGAAGAGAAGATAAAAGGAAAATTGCCCAGTATTCCTATTCCATTACTTTTAACACTTTGCTTTCCTACCAGCAACTTGAATCCTGTTATAATTGGTAGACTGACTCTGTATCCTATAGAATGATGCAAAAATAGGTGAATGCGCTTAAAAATGGGCTTGGCCAACAACCCTTTAAACAAATGTTTGGTCCTTCTGGGTCATGTAAAAAGATTTAAGAAAAAACAGCCCTGGGCAATTATGTGTGGCCTAAATTTCTGCTTAGAGGATAAGCAGGAAGCAAAGGAGGTGGAGGAGAAATGAGATTGGAACAAGTAAAATGATCTCAAATAAAAACTCTTCTGAGCACTTAAGAGCTTTTAGTCTTTGTCAATGCAGAAATGATTAATGTTGTAATACCATGAAGCCATGAGGGGGAGCTTGGCTCTATAAATTACAGAGCATCCTTACTGTGGAATGCTGTGCAATCTTTCCCAAGGACGAGTTTCTGTTCTATGGTTTTTACATGGAAAGGTATTCAAAATGCAACATTGAGTTTGTTTTCACTTTTAAGCAAAGATTTTATAGGGCATAAAAGGAAAAAAGAACCTAAAAGCATAAACACGAAATTGTTAACAATGCTTGTGTCAGGGTAGATATGAAGAAGGACAGGAAGACTTCCAGTTTAGATATTACATGCCTTCTTATCCTTAAAACAATGTGCAACTTTTTGAATCTGAAAAAAAAGCCATTTGCACTTTGAAAAAGAAATTTCAATAATTCTCATTGGCAAATTTGTTAAACAGTAAAGGACAAGGAGTTATGTTGCACCATGGAATTACAAGACAAGCTAAGTGGGAATTGGAAAGCTGAGCATCCTTTAGAAAACAGAGAAAGCAGTGCGTGGGGAGACCAGTCCATCTGAAAAAACTTACAGAACAAGCTCTAAATTGTTGGCATGTGTTTTCAGCATCTCCGGTGAACCTCTGACCCCATCCCCAAAGTTGTAGGATTTGAACACCCCTGCCTGTGCCTTATTGAACTTTGTATCTCCTCCCACTACAATGCATGCCATAGAAGCTATTCATTCAACTTTAGGAGACTGAGCTTGGAGGACTATACGAGAGAGAAAAAGAGTGTGCCCAGTTAACGAACAGCATTGCTTCCACAGGGAGTAAACTTATTGTAGTAAAATCTCAGAGAGGAAAAACTGAGTAAGGAGGAAAAATATTCTCTAGCATCTGCGCAAGTGTGATTGGCCATCCTCAGATTGTTTTTAATGACACTCGATTTAGGTTAAAATTTTATCAGGTGTAACTTGTTTTGTGCCACACTTGGGTCCTCCTTTCTTCTGTGCCTGCTTTTGTTTATTCTGTCGCCATATTGTTGGCCGTCATATAGACTCCTCCCATTAGCGACCTCTGTCCTGCATCTCCCTTTTCATATCTCCACTGAAGGCACATGGAGTAATACTGAATTCTCATTTGGGCTTTCCATTTCCAGGTGGATGTCTCAGTGGAAACACAGCATGTCTTTTGAGCCATGGGTACAATATATATATAT